GATGGAGGAGGCCTCGCTGATGCGGGCGGAGCTGGACAAGAAGGTGCAGTCGCTGCAGGACGAGGTGGCCTTCCTGCGGGGCAACCACGAGGAGGAGGTGGCCGAGCTGCTGGCGCAGCTGCAGGCGTCCCACGCCACGGTGGAGAGGAAGGACTACCTGAAGACCGACCTCACCACGGCGCTGAAGGAGATCCGCGCCCAGCTGGAGTGCCAGTCCGACCACAACATGCACCAGGCCGAGGAGTGGTTCAAGTGCCGCTACGCCAAGCTGACGGAGGCTGCCGAGCAGAACAAGGAGGCCATCCGCTCCGCCAAGGAGGAGATCGCCGAGTACCGCCGGCAGCTGCAGTCCAAGAGCATCGAGCTGGAGTCGGTGCGCGGCACCAAGGAGTCGCTGGAGCGGCAGCTCAGTGACATCGAGGAGCGCCACAACAACGACCTCAGCACCTATCAGGTAGAGGGGAGGTGTCCTGGGCTGTGTGGAGCCCAATGTGGGCGGTGAGGGTGTGGGGGGGGCAGTGGTGGTGCTTGGATACCGGCAGCAGGGATAGTGGGAGCACATGGGAGGACTGGGTGGGTCCTGCACTGATCCTGGCACTGCTTCCCAGCAGTGAGTCTCTAAAATGAGTCTCTAAAAGTCCCTTTTGAGAACTTTTTCTGTGAACGAAGGTTGTGGCTGTGTCATAGAGGGTTTTTCTGCGTCTCCATTGCAGGACACGATTCATCAGCTGGAGAATGAGCTCAGAGGAACAAAGTGGGAAATGGCACGTCACTTGAGGGAATACCAGGACCTCCTCAATGTCAAGATGGCCCTGGATATCGAAATTGCTGCGTACAGGTACAGTAGGATCGTTGCAGACTTGTCTGGAATATTAATAGCACTGCAGATGCTGCTGGCTTGTGGAGCTTTAGCACAGATAAGAAGTATCTTCATTTATCACAGATGAGAAATCACTGCATGCAGTGAACATGAGTAAAATTGGAGCTTGACTAAATTATTACAGCTGTTTCACAATCCAGGCAGACCCAAGGAGCATTTGCAGTAAGAAAGCAGAGTTCATTAGGGACCAGCCATTGGTGGCAAAGCTCCCAGCGGGCACAGACCAGCGTGACTCAGTGCGGTGGCACCCAGTGCCGCATTCTGCCCGTGTTTACAAAAGCAGAAGACGCAGCAAAAGACAAGTTTATTTTTAATTCCTGTTTACTGTGCTTTGCATATGCCAAGCAAGCGGTGCGTGTCATTTGAATCCCCTTTTATCGCTGGAGAGAGACAGTGCGTTTGCTTGATCATGGTTTCAAGCAGGGAGTGCTGATTTGCTTGTCACCAACACTTTTGCTTCTCTTGCTCAACTTTCCTTTAAAGGCATCCTCTCTAATCTGGAGCAGGAACATTGCTTGCTATTGCCATCACCTGGCAGGTTTTTTTAGTCTCCTTTTGAATCACTTCAGAACTCTCATCAGAGAACTGCTGACTTTTCTGGGTCACAGGCTTAGATTAAAAACATGCATTTGAATATAAGAAAAGCAAAAAAAACCCCCATCCCATCTCCAGATTTGCTTAAATTCCTGAGGTTGTTCAGCCAAATCCACAGATACCCTAGGGTCTCTAGCTGCTTGGTGCCAAAGATAAGGTAGCTGAACAGAAGTAGCTTTAGTTCTCATAGCCATAGGCGGGTGCCCAAACTATTGAACTAGGACATAGGCTTTAATTAGCTTTGAATGGCTCAGCCACAATCGTTGATTTGGGTCTGTTGGCTGTGTCAAATCCTCAGTTCCCCTGAGTCATGGTGCATCCTGTGAAGTCAATCATTTTGCCATGCTCTGTGCTGATTTATGCCAACCTGAAGTTTTTTGACATTCAAGATAAATTTCTACTGAGCAGCCAAAGGTGTTACCCTTGCCACATGCAAACCAAGCTAAAAGCTGCTGTTTGCTGAATATGAATTTTGCAAAAGAGCTGATTCAAGGAAAGCCCAACTGGGGCTGTAAGGGATGTATTTTGCTGATCAGCTCTAGCACATTCCATGTATAAACTGGTTTCACCCTGCTGACAGTGGGAAATACTCTAATAGTTGTCCCTTACATTGCGTTTCTATGCTCATTTTTTTTCCTTTTCCTGATTCCTTTAGGAAGCTACTGGAGGGTGAAGAGACAAGATTCAGTGCCTTCTCTGGAAGCATTACTGGACCCATCTTCACACACAGACAACCATCTGTCACAATAGCATCCACTAAAATCCAGAAAACAAAAATTGAACCCCCAAAGCTGAAGGTGCAGCACAAGTTTGTAGAAGAAATCATTGAAGAGACCAAGGTGGAGGATGAAAAGTCTGAAATGGAAGATGCCCTAGCAGCTATTGCAGAAGAAATGGCAGCCAAGGCCCAGGAGGAAGAACAGGAGGA